CTGTCTCATCTCTCCTAGTGACAATGCCAAGAAGGTGGGAGATCATGCCTGCTCCTTTTGCTCTCCCAGGCTTGTGAGTTTCCCCAAAAAAGCCTCTTCCTTAACCTATCCTGTATGATGTGGAAATTGTCCCGAGCTCAATTGCAAGGCAGATGGCAACTCTAAAGGGACACAACCTCTATGACCTATGCTTATTAACGTTCACAGGCCAGGTATGACTTTTCGCATCCTAAAGAAAGCTCTGGGTTTATATGCTATACGCCGATGACTCCCACACTTACATCTACAGCCCTGACTTCTCTAGACTCGTGCACAGCTGCCTCTCTATACCTCCAATGGTATATCTCAAGGTCTCTTAAAACTTAGCTGTCCAACTGTTCTCTTGATCATCTTCACAAACCCAGTTCTCCCAGAGACTTCTACTTTCTCAAGCCAAAGTCTTGGAATCATCTTTAATTCCTCTTTTCTCAAACTTCACAACAACCAATCAACAAACCCTGTCTCTACCTTTGAAACACATCCAGAATGTGATCACTGCTCACCATATCCACCAAAACGCCAGCAGTCTGAGCCTCCATTATGCTGCTCTTAGTTTACTGTATTAGCTTCTTACTTTGTCACCTTGCTTCAGTCCTTGTTTTCCTCCGGCCTTTTCTCAAATATACAGGTAGAGTAATGTTGCTAAAACCTAAGTCAGAAATCAGGTGTCTGCTCTGTTCATAATCTTCCAAATGCTTCCTATCTTGAAAGTAAAATCCAAAGTCCTTTCCATGGTTCATAGGCCTTCACTCTGTGTGCCTCGTCCTGTCACATCCCTTCCACTCCTACTCTCTCCCACTTGCTGTGCCTCCTTAAAGCTCTCAGAGCAGAAGCCCTCACCCTAAGCCTTCATTTTGCATTTACTACTCCCTCAGCTGGCAACACTCTACCTGAGATAACTGCGTGACTGGCCTCCTTACTTCCTTCCAAGAGAGATCTTTGGCCATCTTCCTTGTTAAAATTCTATTACCACCACAACCACCACCATTCCCTTCTTCCCCATAGCACCTACTCCTAAGAAGGACAGGTTTCATGGAAAGTACAGCATCTTGGTTGGGTTCTTAAAGGTGGAACTGTGACAGGAAGTAGAAATAAGATAAGGCAGACAGCAGGCAGTCAGCAAAAATTGTCTTCCAATGGTTACCTGAGGGTGTAATTACACTTTAGTGGAGGCTACAGAAGGGACTTCTACTGAAATGGAAACTGACTAAAATGTCCCTCCCATCTAAAGCAAAGATTAGTATGCTATTTGTGGTAGTTGAACCAAAATGCCCACAGTATGAAAATGTCTTCTCTTTAAAACATAAATCCTTTTGGTTGCTGGTAGGCAGAATCAAGAAACAAGGGATGGGGGAAGAAAGAGAATAAAATATAGGTTGTAGATTTTTTTAAAATCCCTTTTCTGGATTGAAAGGCTTGGCTCAGTGTGAAAAACTGTAAAGAGCAAACCTGGAGATCCAGTCTTGAGATCAAGAAGTAATCACAAGGAACTTATAAAAATGTTTCTTCATCAAAAACAAAAAGCAAAACAAAAAAACTGTACTAAATAAATCAATAAAGTACCAAAATCCCACAGAGAGACTAGTTATCCTTCCTCCCCAAATTTCTGCCCCTTCCCCCAACATCCTTAGCAGATAAAGGAGAGAATCTAATTATGGGTTTGTTTTCAAACTGAACAAATGATGCAGGTATACTTAGCAATATTCACAAAAGGATGCATAAATCAAAAAAAGTCTCTCAGAGTTAATGAACTATTTTCCTCCATTATTTTCAAACGAGTTAAGAAGTCTCATGTATAAAATCTGACATAGTTTTGTCCTTGGGAATGTTGTTCACCTTGAACTTTCTGATGGCCTTTAAAAATTTGTGGATGAAAAAGACAACTGACAGAATGGGAGAAGATATTTGCAAATGACATATCAGATAAAGGACTGGTATCCAAAAT